GTCTCTATTTATGTAAAATTGAATCAATTGGAACCTTGCCGTTAATTTTAATGAACGGCGTTAAAATTGTAGTGAAATAGGATGCTGACTTTGCATGTGTGAGACAGGTGGCAGAATTACGTGGAATTTAATTATTTTAAAAAACTATCATCTTCTTCTTATGAGAAGAACCAAGAATCAGATAGCAAGCCAGAAACTCTCAGTTCGAGAGGCGAATATCAAACTGTAATCATCAACCTATAATGAAACAACCAAATCTCAATAACATCCAAAATCGCAATAATCAAAACCCTCAAAATCTCCAACCGAACCCTTGCTGCAAAGCGCAGAAGCCCTCATCGCCGATCTACAAGGAAGAAGAATCCCAACCAAATTTTGAATACAGAGGGAACCTAGGATTTCCTAAATCGATTTGAAGTGAAAACCCTAATCTCAGTTTGTAAAAATCAGGTATCAGCACAGAAACCTCTACGGAACCCAATCAAAAACAGAAGGAGAGGAGGAGAAGGAAGCTTCCTCCTTGCCGCGAATCAGAACGAAGGGAAGAAGAATAACAACTGCCAACGTGCCTTTCCGTCGCGCCTCTGTCGCGTCTTCGCGAGATCACCCCCTAAGCACGAGCCAAGGATGGTTTTACCCAAGGTTGGGTGATCCGCAAAATTAGAGAGAAGAAGAAGCTTGAAGCTTCTAGTGGCTCACATAAAAGAAAAAGAGGACGAACTGGAAAAAAAAAACAGGTTTCTAAAGCTAACAAAGGCTGGGTTTTCCAGATTCTAAAAATACAAAGTCTGAACCCTTATTTGAGTTCTCTGTGGAAAATTAGAATTAGAAATCCAATTTTAATCTAATGAAGAAATTAATTAGGAATAAAAATTAATTTGATTTTTGCTGCCATCCAGAACATGGCATTCATTATGCAACATTTTTCGTTATTGGATTCCGCTTATACTGAATGGAGATGTGTGTACTTACAAAAATTAATTTAGTTTTTTCTGGTTTTTAGGAATACATATACTAGCTATTGAAGAAGTTTCAGTCATTCATAAGAGAAAGAGATAGTTTTTAAAAATTTAAAATAATTGAATTTTACGTAACTCTACCACCTGTCTCACATATACAAAGTCAGCATCCTATTTCACTACAATTTTAACGTCGTTCATTAAAATTAACGACAAGATTCCAATTGATACAATTTTACATAAATAGGGACCTAAGTGANGGATGGAAGACGCTTGACTCCGAATGCGCCATCCCCTTACGATATTGTGTTCGTAGAGGCTTTTGAAAATAATAAGGTTATTAAGTCCGTAGTTTGAATCAATATCTCAACATGTTGATGCAATTATCATTTGTGATTTGCATTACTAAGTGAATAAAAGAGATATTAATAAGGATTATAATACGTTAACAAACTTTTTTAACAATTTTTTTTTAAAATGTTACTATTTTATTTATGATTAATTTAAAATGAAAAACATAATTATACTTATTAACATGATAAAATAAAAATAAATAAATATTTTTAAACAAAAAATAAACGTATACAAAAACAGAAATCTTAGTAATTTAATTATTATAAATATAACGAGAGGAACACACATCTCCACGTATGATTTTGCAATGCAAAACTTTAAATGTAAGTGGATACTACTGTGGGAGAACTTGATAAGCCTAAACTTAATATTTACCGTTTGATGTATTCATTTTCATCATCTTTATATGTTCATAAATGGATGGTAAAATGGGCCATTCTCATCCTTTTTAGTCATTGTTTAATTAAAAAAATGGTTGATTTTTATTATCTTAACTTTCAATGCAGTCTAAATCATCTCAAAACTTAGGTTAACATATATCAACCTTTGTTGTTTTTATTTTGATTTGAACTAACTTAATTCAACCTTTAATCCTAACTAATTGGATTTGGCTTTATTTAAGATTGACTAGATTGAACATAACTTAGATCAATTTGATTAAATTTTTGAGTGAACTCAACTTAATACTAGGTCTTGACTTTCTTCTCGAACTAGTATAGATTAACTTAGAAGTAAATTATCTTGATTCACACACACATTTTAGTTGTTTAAAATTTAAAAATTCAAAAAAAAAATTAATCTACATCTAATCAAAACTATGAATAGTCTTATAAAAAAAATATAAATTTAGATTTGAAATAAATTCATTTAAATATACATTTATGTAAATTTGAATTATTTATAAATGGGATTCCATAATTTGAATTTTTTTTTCTCATTATAATACAAGATGCAGTAACAATTGTCGAAGCTTTTCATATCACATAGTAATTAATGTCTACATGTTGAGTTTATTTATGAAAGTTAGCACCGAGGATGTATCTTGGGATGACCATCACCATAAAGGCTTATTGTACACAAGGAGGTAGATCTTTAAGCAAATACGTCTCCCATTTTGACACAAAACTAACCTCATTCAAGATAGTTATTTATAGGTTTAATCATTTCGAATGTCCTTATTTGTGCAAAATCGTCTCAACTAGGTCCTCGTATTCTTTTTTATCTCACTTAGGTCTCTATTTATGTAAAATTGAATCAATTGGAACCTTGCCGTTAATTTTAATGAACGGCGTTAAAATTGTAGTGAAATAGGATGCTGACTTTGCATGTGTGAGACAGGTGGCAGAATTACGTGGAATTTAATTATTTTAAAAAACTATCATCTTCTTCTTATGAGAAGAACCAAGAATCAGATAGCAAGCCAGAAACTCTCAGTTCGAGAGGCGAATATCAAACTGTAATCATCAACCTATAATGAAACAACCAAATCTCAATAACATCCAAAATCGCAATAATCAAAACCCTCAAAATCTCCAACCGAACCCTTGCTGCAAAGCGCAGAAGCCCTCATCGCCGATCTACAAGGAAGAAGAATCCCAACCAAATTTTGAATACAGAGGGAACCTAGGATTTCCTAAATCGATTTGAAGTGAAAACCCTAATCTCAGTTTGTAAAAATCAGGTATCAGCACAGAAACCTCTACGGAACCCAATCAAAAACAGAAGGAGAGGAGGAGAAGGAAGCTTCCTCCTTGCCGCGAATCAGAACGAAGGGAAGAAGAATAACAACTGCCAACGTGCCTTTCCGTCGCGCCTCTGTCGCGTCTTCGCGAGATCACCCCCTAAGCACGAGCCAAGGATGGTTTTACCCAAGGTTGGGTGATCCGCAAAATTAGAGAGAAGAAGAAGCTTGAAGCTTCTAGTGGCTCACATAAAAGAAAAAGAGGACGAACTGGAAAAAAAAAACAGGTTTCTAAAGCTAACAAAGGCTGGGTTTTCCAGATTCTAAAAATACAAAGTCTGAACCCTTATTTGAGTTCTCTGTGGAAAATTAGAATTAGAAATCCAATTTTAATCTAATGAAGAAATTAATTAGGAATAAAAATTAATTTGATTTTTGCTGCCATCCAGAACATGGCATTCATTATGCAACATTTTTCGTTATTGGATTCCGCTTATACTGAATGGAGATGTGTGTACTTACAAAAATTAATTTAGTTTTTTCTGGTTTTTAGGAATACATATACTAGCTATTGAAGAAGTTTCAGTCATTCATAAGAGAAAGAGATAGTTTTTAAAAATTTAAAATAATTGAATTTTACGTAACTCTACCACCTGTCTCACATATACAAAGTCAGCATCCTATTTCACTACAATTTTAACGTCGTTCATTAAAATTAACGACAAGATTCCAATTGATACAATTTTACATAAATAGGGACCTAAGTGAGATAAAAAAGAATACGAAGATTTAGTTGAGACAATTCTGCACAAATAGAGACATTCGAAATTACTAATCTTATTTATATTAATTTTTATATTAATTAACCTGTAAAACATATTAGAAAATAATTTTTAATAGAATATTTAAATTGATAACTCATGTGACTTGGGTAACACATTTTTCTGTTTTCAAGTATCGTTTTTGTGCTATAAAGAGATTTAAGTAGTAGGTGAAATATGTTACACCCCAAATATTATATGGGTAAATATTATTTAATGAAAAATTGAAAATAAATATTTTATGCAATAAAGTTGTATTTGTTTAGAAAAAACATTAATTAATACACAACATTTATATATATATATATATATATATATATATATATATATTACATTTCCATAATTATTCAGAGCATATTAGAAAAACGAGTTTAGTACATTTTGTTATTACAGTAAAGATTGTTACAGAAAACAAAAGGTGACATATTATATATCACAAATATCTATATCGCATTGAGTATAACCAACCTCTAAGACATTGAACAGATTATATGAATCCAAGTTATAAAAAAGGACAATCTATTTATCACCTATAATATTTAAAAGCTAAAACTATTACAATGGAAAATATACAAAACTGTAAAAAAAAAAAAGAATTAAAAAACACCCTAAAACAAATAAGTATTTATGAAAACAAGTTTAAAATGACTGAGAAAAACTAAGAGACAGCTGAAATACTAAATTTTACAATGAACTCAAAACCTCACTTCTTAAAGACCTAAAATACATGCTAATATTAGGTTAAAAAATTAGGAAAATATGTAGGCAATAACTCATTCTAGCCCAGTCCATTATTAGATTTCTTTTTGCCTACTTATTATGAGTGGAGACCTATGAGCATATATTATTACTTCAATAATATTGACCCTGTGTGATTTTATAAAATAGGTAATTTTATCGATAATTAAATATCACATTCCAAATGGATTTTTATCTATCAAAATTTCATTGGAAAAAGCATTTACCGATAAATTTTTTACATTTTCGATAAATTGTGATGGTCGGTGCTTTTTTTTTAAATGAAAGGACCAAAGGAAATTAAAATAATTAATGGACATGTCCATATTTCTGTAATATCAACACACTTTCTTATTAAAATGTGAAAAAAAATTGTATTATTCAAAGGTCATTCCGTTACAACCTTATTTCATAATAAAAGGATAAAATTTGAGAGGGACCAGAAAATAAGATCAACTAAGTAAATCAAACAAGACCAGTAACTTGTTACATGATCACAACAAAAAGACCTTAGTACAGTAGAACATGTTTTATCCACACAATCCAACCCTTTTTCATGAATCATTTACTAACACACAAGAAGTTCATAACAGTATACATATAGCTATTACCATTTATCAGCAATTCAAAGATCCTGTTTTCCTTGATCATCCTCTGCAATGCTAACCAGTCTTGAAACTTTGATCTTATCAGGTGACAACTTGGCCATGGTGAGAGTAAGCACTCCATTCTCTAACTTAGCCCTGAGAGAATCAAAATCCACATTCTCTGGTACTTTGAACTGCCTCCAAAATTTTCCATAAGATCTTTCCACTCTATGCCAGTGATCGCCTTCCTTCTCCTCCTCCTTCTTCCTTTCTCCACTCACTCTCAGCACTCTATTACCCTCAATTTCTATCTTTATCTCATCTTTCTTCAACCCTGGCACGTCGATCATTATAACATGCCCCTCTGGTGTCTCCTTCCAATCTACTCGCGCAGGTGACACAGCCATGGATGCCTGATCTTTGCCAACCCCAAATGGGATTTGTTCCAACACACGATACGGGTCAAGGAAACGATCAGACCATATGTCAGCCCAGAGTGCACCAGGACGATCTGTTAATGGTTGCAGATACCCTTTTGCCTTCGATGGAAAACCAGCAAGAACAAGCAAGATCAGTGGCACTAGCACTGAGTTTCTCATTTGTGCTTTGAAATGTGTAAATGGGTGCTCACAGATGAATTGGAGAATTGAGAGAAACAGATTGTGTGTTTGGTTTTGGCTATATCTGAAGTTTGTTTTGAAATTGGTTGAAGATATAAGGTGATGGTGGTTTTATATATACAGGGAGAGAGAATGTGGGAAAGGGTTAAGTTGTTCTTGAAACATGCAATGGTAAAATCGAAGTGTGATAGTATAATGTAGAGAAAAGAAGAATGTTCTAGTATTTGATATTTCGATGAGGAAAAGGGGGTTCTGGAAGTGAAAGAGGGTGCAAGAATGTTCCAACGTATTCCAGTGGTTTCTTTTTGTTAAACAACAAACGATTTCTACCGGTTATTGTAAAAATATTGTTAAATTTTTTTTTATAATAAAAGAAATTTTAAGCACGCAATTATATATATATATATATATATATATATATATATATATATATATATATATAATAAACGAAGTAATTAACATTCAAATGTTTTAGATTTGAAGAAAAAGAATTAATAGTTAACTTTATAATTTGATTTAAATTTTGAAAAGGTTTTTGTTGACTGAAAAACAATTACCAAACTTGAATTAAATTTGAGAGATAATATCCTTACAAGTTTTATTTCTTATATGTAGAAAAATTATTCTGCTAAAATTATCACATCAGACGTCGCTCAATTTGTTTTTACTTGTTATTTTTGTTAAGTTATTATTATTTTGGTTTAATTGTTCGGATAATTATATTTTTATAACAGTGTATTTACTTGATTTTGTTTTTTAAAAAAATGTCAACTTCATTCATAATCGCATTAATAATTAAGTTCATTTGATTATGTTTCTAACAATAGTGTTAATTGTAAGGTGATGTAACGAAATATATTTGTAATTTTCTAATGTGAAATTATTTTAATATCAGGGTTTAGAAAAATAATTGTCCATTTTGAAAGCAATCAAGGGTCTCCTCCACCACCACGTTAGTGTTGGAGCGGAACGGAAGTCTGTAGAGCTTCTTGTCAACGATTCCCAACAACGCTTGCACCTTTGACATGTGATTTGGATGAGAGTTTTTGTTTTCATGGAACAGAGCATGATGTTGTTTTTGCTACCGTGGAACGCCGTAGTGGATTGTGTCACCAAGATTTGGAAAAGTAGGCACTTGATTGCATTGAGAAGATGGATGGGTTTGATTTAACTTGGACAGTGATTTTGACTCTCTTCGACCTTTTCTTGATGCACATGAAGTAAGGGGTTCTTGGATTTTACATTAGCACAACAAGGGGATGTTTTTATTGTCTTGAAAATTTTGAAATTAATGTTTGTTCACTCTGCTATTTGAAGTTAAATTTGAGTATCCATGTGTACAATATTGATTGCATTTCAAGGTAGAATGTAGCTTTGCTCATTATTATTGTTATTATGTCTTTTCCCTTTTGTGGAGAAAATGTGGAAAGAATGAGATGTTGCAAGAAATTGATAAAATATGTGAGTAAAAGGGAAGANGAATTAAATTGACTCACTAAGTGGACAACACTACGTTTTGACCCGTTTTGGGTCGTGTTGGGTCGAGTCAGTGACCCGTTTTGACAACACTACGATATACAATCATAATTATATATTTTAAATATACATAACTTAAAATAGTGCAATTAGTTTCCCTTATCTCGTCACTTATAAATAGAGATTTATATAGAAAACTAAAATACTACATACAAGTTAGAAAGATTCGCATACAAATACAAGTTAAAAAAATTCGCATACAAGAAAAAATAATTAAAACTCAACTTATGCGAATAATGAAATTAATCAATTCAAATTGAAGAATTCATCACAAAATCTAATCTACAATCTCGATTCTTCAATAAATAATAACCTAAAAAAATCAAAGAATTCTTACAAAAAAATTTAAAGATAATATAATATTTAAAATACTAAAATTCATTTATAACAAATTTATTTATATTAAATTTTTTTAATATTAAAATAATTAAATCTCACTATTTTAAAACCATTATAATTTTAAATTGTTTATATCTTTACAAACCAAATCACATTTTCTTAAATATCAGAAAAAAAATATTAATTTAAAATATTATTTAATATATAAAACAAATAATGTTAATATATATATATATATATATATATATATATATATATATAATAAACGAAGTAATTAACATTCAAATGTTTTAGATTTGAAGAAAAAGAATTAATAGTTAACTTTATAATTTGATTTAAATTTTGAAAAGGTTTTTGTTGACTGAAAAACAATTACCAAACTTGAATTAAATTTGAGAGATAATATCCTTACAAGTTTTATTTCTTATATGTAGAAAAATTATTCTGCTAAAATTATCACATCAGACGTCGCTCAATTTGTTTTTACTTGTTATTTTTGTTAAGTTATTATTATTTTGGTTTAATTGTTCGGATAATTATATTTTTATAACAGTGTATTTACTTGATTTTGTTTTTTAAAAAAATGTCAACTTCATTCATAATCGCATTAATAATTAAGTTCATTTGATTATGTTTCTAACAATAGTGTTAATTGTAAGGTGATGTAACGAAATATATTTGTAATTTTCTAATGTGAAATTATTTTAATATCAGGGTTTAGAAAAATAATTGTCCATTTTGAAAGCAATCAAGGGTCTCCTCCACCACCACGTTAGTGTTGGAGCGGAACGGAAGTCTGTAGAGCTTCTTGTCAACGATTCCCAACAACGCTTGCACCTTTGACATGTGATTTGGATGAGAGTTTTTGTTTTCATGGAACAGAGCATGATGTTGTTTTTGCTACCGTGGAACGCCGTAGTGGATTGTGTCACCAAGATTTGGAAAAGTAGGCACTTGATTGCATTGAGAAGATGGATGGGTTTGATTTAACTTGGACAGTGATTTTGACTCTCTTCGACCTTTTCTTGATGCACATGAAGTAAGGGGTTCTTGGATTTTACATTAGCACAACAAGGGGATGTTTTTATTGTCTTGAAAATTTTGAAATTAATGTTTGTTCACTCTGCTATTTGAAGTTAAATTTGAGTATCCATGTGTACAATATTGATTGCATTTCAAGGTAGAATGTAGCTTTGCTCATTATTATTGTTATTATGTCTTTTCCCTTTTGTGGAGAAAATGTGGAAAGAATGAGATGTTGCAAGAAATTGATAAAATATGTGAGTAAAAGGGAAGAACATATGCAGAGAAAGGGCGTGTAGAGATAAAGATGATGATTCAAATTTGATGTTACTGTGTTGTCCTTTTCCTTCTTTTTATTTACTATATTTTTACATGTTGTAAATGTGTTTTGTCACATCACCACACAGTTTTCCCGCATCATCATACTATTTTACCCCATCACCACATTGTTTTGTCACATCATTACACAATTAACATTGTTACTAGAAAATTAACGAAACAGACCTCATTGAAGCACATTAACGCGATTGTGTATGTAATTGACACTTTTTTAAAAGCAGAGACCAAGTCGACTCACTATCTTGAAAGTGAAGACCATCTGAACAATTAAACCTATTATTTTTCTACCTTATTTCTTGAATAAACTTTATCATTTTTTTTTTATATAACACGGTTTCATTTTGAAATTCTCCATGTAACATATTATGCAACATATTCACAAAGATCGCACGGTTCTTATATAGGTCAGATTTTGTTTTCTGGAGCCGAATTTTGATCTTCGTTTTCGTGAACAGTCAAGCTGCCAGTCGTAGCTTGGTTCTAGGGAAATTGAATTCACTACAAAACCTCATACAATTATTGATGAAGTTTTAACGAAAGAAAATAAATTTGTAAGTAGATTTCAATTATCGACAGATTTTACCAATGGATTTTGAAATTTTAATTATCAATTGATTCATTACTTACGAAAAAACTCATTAATAAATCTATCAATAATATTTTATTTACTAACGGAATATTCTATAGACAAACTCATCAATAAAAAGTAGCAAATTTTCCACCCATCCCATCTCATCTTCTTCGCCCTCTCATCTTCTTTACCATGTAAGAATCATTCCTCGTCTCATTCACATTCGCAAGCCACCAACTGTAGACCAGGTTGTCACTGCTCACACATCACAACTCATCGTACCACAACGCTTGCAATCACAACCACTATTGATGGCACCGATTAGCCTCTCTTTCCCTGCGTAAGGTTTCGTTCTTCTTTTAATGGTGTCATTTTCACCAAGCTCCATTCGTGGTTGCCGCTTGTCGTGCCCAGCAGCTCACGCGACATTGCAACTTTCGCCCCTTCTTCCTTTAATTTCACTCTTCCACACAAGGGTTTCTTTCAATCCTACCACCGCGTGTTTGCTCGCCAGCCACGTCCTCCAACCATCAAAGGCATTGTCGTTCGAAAGTGTCACTAGCATCCTGTTCCTCTCTTTTTCTTCTTGTTCTTCTTGCTTGGGGAGATTATTTTTCATCCTTTTTTTCGCAAGAGTGCCAAACAGAGTCACTAAAATCCTTTCCAATAGGTCGCACTGCGATGTTGCAATCCACCATCACGACAATCGAAACATTCAATGGAGTTGGTGTTGGCAACGAATTCTTTCTTCCAAGCCTAACTACGTCAAAAACTAACAAATATTCCTCTGCACCAATAGCTACGTCATTCCATAGGAAGAAAAAAGTATTAGAGAGGAGGGAGACAAAGAGAGTGCCATGTGTATTGTGTTCTCTGTTGGATGGTTGAAGGGTGATGAATAGTTGGAATATATATAATAATGGTGTTTCTGGATGATAATGGTTCTGGAATGATTTGGTGAGGAGAATTGGTGGCGTGAGTGGAGGAACATTAGAAGATCATGGTTGACGAAGATGAACCAGGTCATGATATTTACTAACAAAATTTATCGACGATTTTTTTCTTCGGTAATTATTGATGAATATATCTTCGGTAATTACCTCCATATTTTTTCTATAATTACCAATGACTTTTTTTCTTTGATAATTATCGATGGGTGTAACATTTCGTCGGTAAATGTTACCGACTGCACTATTACTAACAAATTTTGGCATGTCAAAAAATCAACGAATTTTAGTCGTCAGTAATACTTGTTTTTCTTGTAATGATTTTAACTTAGTTTTGTATATATCTTTTATTACAAGTCAGAATTCGAAGTAGTCGAATTCTGACATTCTTCTTCAATAACATCGG